ATACGCCTTTGAGTAGACGCATTGCCACCACACTCTTCCTGTATCTGTCAGCGAAGACAACATTGGTTCGATCATTGCGATCCAATCACCCAGTGCCGTCGGATTGCTTGGTGTGTAGTCTGCCAAAGTTGGAAGGCTCATCACATGCTTCCCGAGAGCCTCCGGACGTTCGGTTCCAGAACTATCACCAATGATTGGCATACCACGTGGCACCACTGCTCCAGGAGGTAAACTGACCCTTCCACCAGGCCCTTGAGGTCGTCCATGTCCTATACCGGGCGTAACAGCTGTGAGCGGAACCTTTTCCAATTCCAACTTCCCAGCGACCATTTTCCACCGATACGGAACATCATCCACCATTGTATATCCACCCGATCCTGCTGAGTTCTCTTGCGTTGCAGTTTCCCGAGCTGAAACAAAACCGGGCTGGTTCCCCACAGGTGCGGCAGAACCATCAACACCCGACGGCACGGAAGTAATCGGAACATGTGTTAAACCAGGTGGTCCACTTGCATATCCACCACTTGCAGGACCTCCCGTGGGGTAATTCAATGGAGGCAATCTGGAGGGTTTCTTCCCTTCAGCTACATGCATCATTGGCACTTCTTTTTCATCCTCCACTTGAACATCCCCCTTCCTGGACCCAGGCAAGGATTGAAGATCACAACCCTTTGGCAGGTCGTAGCCCTCAATAGGCAGCCATGTCCCATCAGGCAACACAGTCCAAAAACCACCCATACCATCCGTGTAGAAAACTTGTCCTGGCAGGTACTGCTTCTCTGGAGTCATTCCTAGAGGATATGCCGTGTTTGCGTCCACCACTCCAGAGCTCCGTGCCCTTGAAGCTGACCCAGATGCAGCAGAGGTATAGCTTTTCTCCTCCACCCGATGCAACCTGTTCCCCAGCTCCTTTGTTTGCACAAGCAACTCTTTCAGCGCACGCTTTACCACCGCCATATCTTCAGTTTGCTCTTCACCACTAACATCAGGAATGAGCTCTTCGTCTGCTTGCACTCCACCAATAGTACCTCGTTCCATCTGGCCCATTAAGCCTGACGATGGTCTCTCAACAGGTGCAGGTTCCTGACCCAAAAGATCTTGCAGCGAAGGCGGCCTCCTCGTACCTTCACCACTTCTATCCCCTCCGCTCGCAGGAAGACTTGCCGGCCTTGATTGCCTAAGTCTCATTTCTTCTTGAGCCCGCTCGCTCCAGAAAGGATTTGCTGCTTGAACCGGAACCACTTCGTTTTCCACCTGAGGCGTTGGTTGTATCATTGCAACCTCCCTACCATCTGTCAGCGCTTGTACCATTTGTTGTCGTTCATCACCCCCATCACCGCGATTTCCTTCGGCTTCATTGGCCGTTGGCGACAGTCCAGGCTCAGAGCGACGCCGCATCATGTCCATGGCGTTAAACAAACGAAAAATCTTTACCTATTCCGCAGGAAGCCTAATTTGGGCTCATAACCTACGGGGGGCAACCGAGCCAAAAAAGATTTCCGGGTACGTTGACCCTTTCAACTCCCATCACCAACTCCTTTCTACAATACCAGTTGCAGCTCCGCATAGGGTTTAGGGTCTTTGTTCAAGGCACATGATTCTGAGTTTTGTGTGTGTGTGTGTGTGTGTGTGTGCGTGGGTGCGTGCGTGCGTGCGTGCGTGCGTGCGTGCGTGCGTGCGTGCGTGCGTGCGTGCGTGCGTGGGTGGGTGGGTGGGTGGGTGGGTGGGTGGGTGGGTGGGTGGGTGTGTGTGTGTGTGTGCGTGCGTGCGTGCGTGGGTGTGTGTGTGTGTGTGTGTGTGTGTGTGTGTGTGCGTGCGTGGGTGTGTGTGTGTGTGTGTTTTTGGGATTAAGTTCGGCTGCTCCTAGCGAAGGGGGTGACCCTGGAACTATGCCAAAGCCCTCCCTTGTTGAGCGTCCCTTCTTCGCAATTCTTCGAGACTCTGCCATGTGTGACGTTTGGTGTTTCTTCCTCTTTAGGCGAAGGTCTGAGCAGACTCAGTTTCATTGTTGCCGCGATTCTCTTGTGTCTTGTTTCGCGGGTCCTAGCTTACGTTGGAGGATCTCTTTGGGTAGGGTCCAGCACCTCAAGCTACAGGTCCCTAAAGATCGCGAGCCCTTTCGCAAGTCACAAAACATACCGTAGTTCTTGGAGCTCAGGGATTAGGCGGTTATGGGCCCGAGACGACAGCTTGAAGGTGAAGGAGTCGATGCGTTTTTTCTCACGCGATGCGGAATCTTGGCTGCACGCTGATGCAGGCCCCCTCCCCCCGGACCACCCAAAGTGCTTAAGCGGTATTCGCTTTGGGGTAGTGGCGCCGGGGTGCGCTGAAGTCTGAAGCCTCACCCGCTGAGAGCTTCTGGTGCCCAACTTCGTCTGAAGCAGAGTTGAGGTGTATGAGAGCTTCACCCACGCCAAGACGAAGCCACAGACCGACACCAAGTCTGCCTTGGGCAACCTTTCCTCTTCTTCCGCGTTGGGATGCGATGGGCCGGTTACTGCAGGTTCTTCAGGGTATTTAGCAACCCTAAACCCTAAACCCTAAACCCTAAACCCTGAACCCTGAACCCTGAACCCTAAACCCTAAACGTCATTTCTTCAGAGCCAACGCCCAGTAGCAAATCCACGAAGGAACTGAGACTTGCGGCTCCATCACTTCAGTGAGGGGGCAGCCGCAGCAAGAGATGTATATGTCGGCCTAGGGCGCTATAAAGCTTGAGATGGTGTATGTTTCTTAAGGAGATGTAGAAGCCGACATGGCATGAGATTGGCAATTGAGGCCTTCTAGGGTTCACATTTTTTTTGGAGTCGCTGGGCATTATCTTCATGTTTGCTACTCGTTTTATTGCTGAATTGCGCAGCAGAAAAGACCGGCAACGCGCTGCTTCCCAAACTTCGCCAGGCCCTCGTTTGGCTGTATCCCCTGACCCATTTTCACCTGAAAGCAGCTAGCTCTGGGTTTATCTTTCAGCTGCAGCGACATGTGGCTTGGGATTTCAAGTTGGTTTGGGGGGCTTCAGAAGCGCGTCAGGCACCAACCGTCCAGACAATTGTAGCCTTGCAGAGGTTCCTCTTTGCAGCGAGAGGGTCTCTACGCTGTTCTGGCTCTGAAATTTGTAGGTTTCACGGCAGGTTTCATGGGTGTGTCATGACCTTCCAATGTAGTGGATTCTTGAAAAATTATATATATATATATGTGTACACATGTATATATAAATAAATATATATATATATATATATACACATGCAGATCCGTGGTTTGGCATCTGGCGTCTCCAGGCCCCCCGTCCTCCCCTGTCTACGTCGGGAGGAGTGAGGGTGTAAAGTCATCCACTGTTTACGTGGCAGCGCCGTAAGGGCAGGAAGGGGCAAAGGTCGATTCTTCAAGAGGAGGATGTCGAGGGAAGGAAGGAGCCCCAGACCAAGGAAGACCCGGACGCCGGGCGGGCGGAGTGGCAAATCAGATTGAACGTTTTTACTGTGTTCACAAGGAGTATCCATGTTGAAAGCGGGCACAAGGGCTACAACGAGAAGGGGGAAACGTCTACTTCGTGGAAAGGAAGGAAATTAGCAATTCAGTCTTAGCCGTTGAGGATGAGTTGTTGCCGGACGAGGCAAAAATGGCATCATTCGTGTCCATCAGAAAGTTTGGCGTAGAGCTGTTTTACTCCAACTGTTTTGGGGTACCTGGGTTCCAGGAGAGCCACGATCTTCGATCGATGGCACGAAAGGAACGAAGATCGAAGATTGTGAGGGATGTTTGAGAGTGTCGAGACATGAAGGCGAGGGCGAAGGGGAAGGCTGAGCCTTAGGCCTGGAAGGGCAAGACTGGGCTTAGGACTCGTTCGTTCTGGGAAAAAAGAATTGGACTTCAGTCAAACACAGTGAGCACATGATCTGGACCTGGTTATCGTTGTACGCCCTATGAACTATAAGCCCGGAAACCTTATATAATTTCATGAACCCTTTTCGCCCTGTAAGACTTCAAGGTCCAGTAACCTTATACAGCTTATAAAAAGGGTAAGCCTATAAGCCCTAAACCCAAACCAAACAAGGTCAATCGAAGCCCCAAACCCAAGCCCGGAACCCACGCAAGCCCCAACTCCCAAAACACGGGGCGGAGGCGGAAGCCCCACGCTTCATAACACCTCCGCCCCCACGCCACTGGGGATCCTGGATAACCCCAACAAAAGCCCGGGTTAGAACCAATGCGTTGGTCTCGCCGGAGCCTCCTCGGCGCCTCCTCGGGCCTTCCAAAATTCCAAGCCCCTGGAGAGGTCCCACTGTGTCGGTTTCGGGGTTCAAAGAATGTGCCAAGCCGGCTGTGTAAAAGCCAATGTTTGGGGGATCTGCAGGCCCCACTTGCTCCCAAGCCTCAAAGTGCCTTGCCACTATGTGAAGCACAAAGAGATCTCATCTTTTCCGGGTTTTGCAGCCGCACGAGAGCTCGCAACAAAGAAAAACCAATGGAACCAAAACTTTCGGGGCGAGGGATAGGTGCCCAAAGACCGCACAACATGGGGGTTTACGATATTAGGGGTATCTTATTAGGGAATCTATTTGGGAGGCTATAAGAGGGGTACCTTATTTTCGTAAACATGTACAGAATGCTGGTTTCTACCAGCCCGCCATTGATCCGTCAGGTGTTTGCAACGAGAGTATGTGTGTAGTTGGGGGTGCCTTTCACTATGGCCTACTTGGACATTAGAGGAAGTCGACCGGGTCATAAACTGTAATTGCGACACGCGCACCCTGGAACATGGCAGTAGCTGCTTTTCATCATGTGAAGTATACAACGTAGCTCTCGTGTTATGTGTGAAATTAGTTTTAGCGCATATGGTGTACACTGTACAACGCATGTCGAAGAGGGATTTCTGACTGGTACATCGGTGCAGGAACAGACAGTGTGGTCAGATTGTTTCCTTCAAACCCTGCATTTCAGAAGAAATTGGCGAGCAGACACAAGTAGCGACGTTATTCCTGGCAGTGCTGGTACGTAGCATGGCGCTGTTGGCCGATGCATCCGGCCTACCAAATCCCCGCATCGAGCTGGGTACCAGGCCCTGCTGTTGCCGGCTAATTTTAATTTTGCCAGTCTTCAAATAGTTGTCAAGATCGATACGCCAAAGCAAGACGGATGCATTCTATGAGACAGGCAATGGTGGGGAGCTCAAATATCTGACATCACTGTCAACGCCCCTTGGCACGGAGCTTTGGGACCTTGGAGGGATCATGTGTAAACTGCAAAGCACGAGCCTCCCCAACGAGTAGAAGTGTTGCCAAGCTGTGCCAAGAGGTGGAAGATCTGCAGGATGCAGACTGTCAGCGACTGGGAATTTTGGGGTGCTGCGACCGGACCATGCGGCTCCTCCGAAGCTGCTGTGCCTGCTGCACTTTGGGAGCGGCCTGGCACAGCACTGAACACAGCTACCGAACCTTGCACCAATGCGGGCCCCTAACTCACATGTGTTGTGTATGCATTTAAGGTGCGCGCGGACCTCGCAGGCTTTAGACAGGGTTTGTGACAAATTACATCAGCACTTGTCATCGCTGGCCGCCCGCATCGTTAAGCTTTGGTTTAATATCCCACGAACCGCAGTTTCGTACTGTACTAATCTGTACTATTGAAGGTCAGTGCTGTTGAAAGTTGACACTCCGGTCAAGGTCCTGGTGCCAGCAGGCCTTCTCATTTGCGGCAGCCAGTTTCGAGAATCGAGCTACCGAGACATCGTGCTGGCAGTTGGATTGGTGTTCCTTGTGGTCTTCTGCTGCGTCTGCTGCTTCTCGCTGCGGCGCACCTGCTGCGAGGGCATTTTCAATCCGCCGGAGCCAGCGCCATTGGTACCCCCACTGTCCAAAATGCCCGGTGCGAGGAAAATACAGATCAAGAAGCTGCTGCTTATCTACAATCCCAACGCCGGGAAGCGGCAGTCGGAAAAGATTCTGAAGGAACTGATCTTACCAGGCTTGAGGCGTCGCGGGATCGATTGCACAGCAATTGCCACTGAGAGTGTAGGGCACGCGCGCGAGCTGGGAATGACCCTCCCGCTGACAGATTTTCAGGCGGCAGTGACACTTGGGGGCGACGGCACGTTTCACGAGCTTGTGAATGGCATGTTCGCGCGAGAGGATTCCCAGCGAATCCCCGTGAGCCTGATCCCCTTGGGCACCGGCAACGGCCTGTCGGCGACCCTGCGCCAGAACATGCAGCGACAAGGCGAGGAAGTGTCCGTGTGGTCGGAGATGCTCTATCCCCCTTGGGAATTATTTTTTTTATTTTTGTTTATATAAAATTTAAGAGGATATTAAGAAACACATTATTCTTTTGAAGGTTCTAAAGGGGAGTAGAGGATGGATGCGGTGCTCCAGTGGTCCCTCGCCCGGCTCGCGGGCGGCCAGGTCTCCTGCATCGACCTCTTGGAGGTGGAGGTCATGAACCGGCGCCTGCTGGCAGTGATGATGGTTTCTATATCCCCCCTTGGGATTTCTTTTTTCTTTTTTATACATATTTTTGTTTATAAAAAAACCCAAGAGGATGTTAAAAATATTGTTTTTTATTGAGGTTCGAAGGGGAGCATAGGTTTACGTTGGGCTCTTTGCCGAAGTGGATGTCGTGGCGGAGCCGCTGAGATGGCTCGGACCGGCGCGCTTCGACCTCGCGAGCGTGCTCATGATCCTGAAGCAGCAGCCGCAGACTCTCAGGTCTTTTTGTAATTGTTGGGTAACATTTTACCATTTTTAAGGGTACTTATGCCCAAGAAGGAATAAACATGTAACATTTTAACAATATCTCAACCATGAACTAGGTCAGCTGGCCTGGTTCTGGCATGTTCCGTCCTGCGTTTGCGTACTTCTACTTTGCAAGATGTCGTGACATGTTGTATCCTTGATACTGGCATGCGATTGCACTCTGTGACCCTGAGCGCACAGGTGCAAACTGACCCTTGCGGACGGGACCATCCAGGAGGAGAGCTTGTCTACCATCGGAGCTTGCGTGGGCTTGTGCCAGCACTTCTCGGACAAACTGCGGTCTGTGCCACAGGCGAAGCAAGGATTCATGACCAGAGCTGTTGTTGTCTTTTTCTCAGTGACGCTGAAAGAAGCCCAGAGAGTTCCTTGCTTGCTGGTGAATGTAGCCCAGTCACTCTCCTTGCACCATCCGACAGAATTAAAGTCAGTGGCTGGAAAGATGGGCAGGCACAGCTCGATGACGGTCTGGCGGAGTTTTCGGTGGCTTGCCTTGAACTGTGCGCGTCCGAATCATTGTACATGCTATGCCCCACCTCGGCCCGGGAGAGCGGTGCTGTGGGATTTGCTGGCACCGAAAATTTTGTGCAACTTTTTTTTAACCTGCAGGATGCTGCTAGATTCCGATGGTTCGGGTAAGCGGGCGCTGTCCCTGCGTAGACTCACAAGATATACCGCAACCCATGCGTGACTTTTCGGCAGATCGGAACCGTTCATCTTTGTTTTTTACCCAGTCTTTCTTGTTTAGCAGGCTTACTGGAACACAGCAGTAGATTCGTAAACCCGCCCTTGAAGGTCGCGCAAGCAGGTTTCGTAGCCCCCTTCAAAGTCTTCAAGTCTCCTTTCGTAGGAGTCTACGGTAGAAGGCGGCCACTAGATAAGATGAGGTTTTAGGGTTTGGGGTTTAGGGTTGGCGGAGCTTGTCCGTTAATTTTGCATCGCTTGTTCAAGGTTTTGAGATTTTTCTGTTGGAGGGGCGCGCGCGCGCGCCGCCTTTACTCTCTGCTTTTGCTGCAGAAAGCGGCGGCGGCGGCGGGACAGCTTTAAAACATCTTCGGGAAAAATCTCCCGGCCTATAAGTTCCTATCTTCTGCAGCCTAAGGCACTCGCATCAGGCGCCACAGTCGACCAGACAGTTGCAGGATTCTTTGTCATAGTTGGGTAACATTTTACATTTTTAAGGGTACTTAAACCCAATAAGGAATAACAGTTTAATTCTTAAACATTATCCCAACCATGAACCCTAAACCCTAAACCCTAAACCCTCAACCCTAAACCCTAAACCCAGGATTTTTGAAACTGCCGAATGGAGCACACACCGGGGACAAGGACAGGAGAAGGGTCGATTCGGGAGTCGAGGTTTGGTGGTTTGGTGGCCACAGCCCAGAATGAACATCTTGGGAAGGGTTTAGGGTTTGGGGTTTCGGGTTTAGGGTTTAGGGTTGAGGGAAGACTCCCTTTTCTTCTCTGCTGGTGCAGCGCAAAATATACGCAGGGAGCAGTGTGAGCAGTGTGAGCAGTGTGAGCAGTGTGAGCAGTGTGAGCAGTGTGAGCAGTGTGAGCAGTGTGAGCAGTGTGAGCAGTGTGAGCAGTGTGAGCAGTGTGAGCAGTGTGAGCAGTGTGAGCAGTGTGAGCAGTGTGAGCAGTGTGAGCCAGCTTCAGAAAGGGGGCCTATTCCGAGCAGGACGTATGGGACTCCAAGCAGGTCACCAGCGCAGAGCTGACCTTCGACGGCCCTGGCATTTTCAATGTCGACGGTGAGGCAGCGGGGATTGCAGCCCCCCCCCCCCCCTCCTCGCTCTCCCTTGCGTAGTGATCGGCCATCTATTTCACTCAAAGCTGGAACGTAAGAGTTTCCGTAAACGAGCATCCCTGGACCAATGGACAACACCTACGATGGCCAAAACTGGACAGAGAAATCAGAAGGTTCTGGAGCATGATGGCCTCCTCCGCATCCGCGTGCTGCCAGCAGCTCTTGAGCTGCTCGTGGCTCGGACATGTAAAATTAGAATGAGAAGCCCAGGAGCATTGCTGTTTGGTGTTGCTTCGCAAGGCATAGCTGAGGCCTAGCTCTGTGGATGTCAGAAGTGCTGTGAGTTGTGTTGTTGTGCGCGCTCCCGAAACAGCAGATCCCGGAGAGTCGATGTGTTGCTTTGACATGTTCTGATGTGGTCAGGTTGGCAAGGACGAGGTCGCGTCAGCTGGTCCTGCCGATGAGGCAGCAGCCCCCGCAGTTTGTAGCTTCAGGATTCAGGCGGTTGCGCGAGCTTGTTAGTGCCGTGACATGCACGTCAGACCTTAAACCGCCCTAACACCAAGAACATCTGGGGGTCCAAGCTGGGCATCCACCCACCAAGCCTCCTTCTTCGATGTTGCACGCCGGTCTTCCAGGCTTCCCCTCCCACATGGCGCCCTGACCCGGCTCGCTGGCGGATGCTGCTGCTCTTCATGCTGGGCTGCATGTCGAACCAGGTTGGGACAGGGCATGTGCTCAATAAGCCACTTCTAAATCTCATGGTAAGATATTAATAATAATAATAATAATAATAGTAATGGTAATAATAATAATGATAATAATAATGATAATAATAACAATAATAATCACAATAATAAAAATAATGATAAAAATAATAATCAAAAAACAAATAATAAACTGTCGGCGGCTTGAGAAAAGTCCTCATGCAGGGACACGTATCTGTATCTCACGTGCAGGCCATATGGATTGGCTTTGCTCCAATCCAATCCGACGTGATGAAGGAGCTCGGAGTATCTGCAACGTATGTGAACTTCCTGTCCTTGGTATTCATGATTGCTACTTGTCTGAAGGTTGGCTGTCTTGACATCCCTATAAACTAGCTCGCCACGTACATATACTCGTGTGTCAGCGTCGTTCCCGAATCTTCCAGAGAGGTTCCGATGTTCTGCGGTAGCGTCTTGCAGGGAACGGAGAGGCAGAGCGCCGCCGTGTGACCTTCGCCGCGACATCTTGCAGCTGGGCTCAGGTATACCTTCCAGCGAACTTCCCAGCCTCCTACGCCATGGACGTGTTGGGCTGTCGAGCCTCAACTAAGTAATTCTAAGCCTTAGCTTTTTTTAGAGCCTTAAACCTTTAAAAGTCTTTTGAAGCTCTTTTTGTGTGTTCCGATGCGTTCAGATTCTCTTCGCACACCCGAGGATCGGCTCTGCTGATTGGTGGCTGCCTCCAGACTGTCGGGGCTGTCCTCAGGTCCCTTTAAGTCGAGCTCAAAAAGCCTCGAGAACTTAAAGAGAGAGCCTGGAAAGATGGGGGGGGAGTTTAGGGTTTAGGGTTTAGGGTTTAGGGTTTAGGGTTTAGGGTTTAGGGTTTAGGGTTGCAAGAAGGAAGGTGCATGCGTGGCCGGACACCCTTGAAGGTGCCTGCCAGTCGACCCTGCAACTGCATGGTACACGGCACCTCGGACGAGTTCGGGGTGAGTTGGCGCTGCGAGTCAGTTTCTGTCACAGTAAGAAGGAGATTGGACGAGATGCGACTCCTGTGAAGCAGCGCACATGGCTAAGTGCAAGTTGCATCCTCAACCGCTTAGCCATGATGGGCAAAGTCTGCTGAGTCAACTTACAATCTACATAGAGTTCTGGGCCACTGTCGGTGCCGGGTGGTGCTGGTGGTGCCGATGCCGGAGCGGGTGCGCGTGCTCGCGCGTTGTTGCTCTCGGGTTTGCTTGCGGGCGGGCAGGCGTGCGCGGGCGTGCGGGCGTGCGTTGCGTGTTGCGCGCTGTGCGCTGTGCGCTGTGCGTTGTGCGGTGTGCGGTGTGCGTTGTGCCGTTGGGCGTTGTGCGTTGTGCGTGCATGCGTGCATGCGTGCATGCGTGTGTGCGCTCGTTGTTTTTTCCCCGTCGCAAGTTGCTCTAGTTATATAATGGATTTGCAGCTTTTGCTTGAGAGTATTGCCAAAGGGCGCCTAAGCCTTAAGTGCTCGCAAACTTGAGGTGATGGCTGGGCAAGCACTGGCAGCTCTGGGGCAACCTTTCTTCACTGATATGCCGCCAAAGCCATCCTGGCATTGTTGAGCTGTGGTTTCTTGGGGCACGCCTGGAATTAAGAACATGAGAAGCCAGCCAACAGTAAAGCACCGCTGTATTGTCACACGCAGCACCGCACTTCCTAGCACCGCACTTCTTTTCCAGGATTGCAGCGGATTGGTTTCCGGCCTACCAACGTGTGCTGGCAGACACGCTGGCCTCGACTCTTGGCGTGGGATATCAAATTGCCTGACATCAATAGGGCTGTTGAACGAGGCTTTTTGCCTTCAATTGTTGATGCGCTGGCGTACCCTAAACCCTAAACCTTGAGGCTTTCAATCTCAGTCGGTGCGGCGCTGGGCTTCATCCTGCCAGCTGTCCTGGGCCTTCATGAGATGCTCTGGGTGCAGCTCATTTGGGCGGCTTCGTGCTTTGGCTCTGACTCGGGCGCGTCTGTTCCCCCCCCCCCCCCCCCCCTAGGTTAGGGTTTAGGGTTTAGGGTTCCCCCCCCCCCCCCCCTAAGAGAAGGTGCTTTGCAGCAGTTCTGACTCATAGAGCGCCTATGCCCTTCGGTTTGTGTGTTTTCGATGCCATGGCTTTCTGCCCGACAATGTGTGTGTGTGTGTGTGTTTTCTGGAGCCATGGTGGGACAAGCAAATCACGGGCTTGTCAGCGCATGTCTTAAGTTTGACTCGGCGCTACTGTGCACAGAACACTTGTAGCCGCCCGCGACCGGCTTGATGTCGGTCTGGGCTAAGTGGAGGATACTTACCCCTAAACCCTAAACCCTAAACCCTAAACCCTAAACCCTAAACCCTAAACCCTAAACCCTAAACCCTAAACCCTAAACCCTAAACCCTAAACCCTAAACCCTAGGAGGGGGGGGGGCGGCATATTTTGGCCTTGGGGTAAGAGGACTTGAACGGGTCATGTCAAAGTGGGCCCCACAGTCTCACGAGCAGCACTAGCATGCGACCCTCTCCTTTGAAGCACTTGCGGGGGTTTGAGGGGGTTTGAGGTAACCCCTAAAGCCCCTAAAGCCCCTAAAACCCGTAAAATCCCCACAGCCCCTAAAGCCCCCAAAGTCGAGGTCTCTTGGGCTGATCTTCGCCTTCTTCCGAGCAGCGCCCATAACACCTCCGAGCCCGTCCAAGCATCGCCACGAGGTGGCCTTGGAATATGAAATATTTGATTTAGACTATACAATCTGTAGTTTCTAATATATCATATATATATATATATAGTATATAGTATATAATATATAATATGTAATATATAATATATAATATAGAATATAGGAGAAATAATATATAAAATATAGTATATAGTATGTGGTAGCATATATATATATATATGTATATATATATATATATATAATACAATCTAGAACATGTAATAGATAATACATAATACAACATACAACATATATATATATATATATATATATATATGCTCGCCCCCCCCCCCATGATCCACACATTTGGCCTCGAGAAGGGGGTTTTGGGAGGGGGGGGACTCCAGACTCCAGATTTCCAGAAAAAATCTGGAGTACCCCCGGACTCCAGACTCCAGATTTCCAGAAAAAATCTGGAGTACCGGGCCCCGGACTCCAGACTCCAGATTTCCAGAAAAAATCTGGAGTACGGGGCCCGGACTCCAGACTCCAGATTTCCAGAAAAAATCTGGAGTACCGGGACCCTGGACTCCAGATTCTGGAGTCTGTAATCTGGAGTCTGGGGCCGCGGGTACTCCAGATTTTTTCTGGAAATCTGGAGTCTGGAGTCTGGGGCCCCGGGTACTCCAGATTTTTTCTGGAAATCTGGAGTCTGGAGTCTGGGGCCCCGGGTACTCCAGATTTTTTCTGGAAATCTGGAGTCTGGAGTCTGGGGCCCTGGTACTCCAGATTTTTTCTGGAAATCTGGAGTCTGGAGTCCGGGGCCCCGGGTACTCCAGATTTTTTCTGGAAATCTGGAGTCTGGAGTCCGGGGCCCGGGTACTCCAGATTTTTTCTGGAAATCTGGAGTCTGGAGTCCGGTGCCCCGGTACTCCTGATTTTTTCTGGAAATCTGGAGTCTGGAGTTCGGGGCCCCGGTACTCCAGATTTTTTCTGGAAATCTGGAGTCTGGAGTCCGGGGCCCGGGTACGCCAGACTTTTTCTGGAAATCTAGTGTTTAGGGTTTGGTGTGTAGGTTTCAGGGTTTAGTGTTTTGTGTTTAGGGTTGAGCGTTAAGTTTAGGGTTTAGGGTTTAGGGTTTAGGGTCAAGCGGCTCGGCTAAAACCCAAAAAACCCTAAACTCTGATATCCAAACAGTAAGCATCTGAAACCCCGATGGGTTTTTGGTTTCAGGTTTAGATTTAGTAGGGCTCGAGGTTCCGGCTTTGGGGTTTACTGTTTAGGGTTTAGGGTTTAGTGTTCAGGGTTTAATGTCTAACGTTTAGGGTTTAGTTTGAAATGTTTAAGGTTTAGTTTTTGGGTTAAGTGCTAAAGTGTTTAGGGTTTCGTGCTAAGTGTTTGGGGTTTGTGCTAAGGGCTTAGTATTAAGCTTTAGGGTTAGTGTTTAGGGTTTAGTGTTAAGGGTTTCGGGTTTGGTATTTTAGGGTTAAGGGTTTTAAGGATTTTTACAAATTTAAATGACCTGTGGAAGGCAACGGGGCTTCTCCAGACCATTGACAACTTGAAAATCCTTCTGTTTAGGGTTTAGGGTTCAGTTTTCAGGGTTTAGTGTGTAGGGTTTAGTGTGTAATGTTTAGGGCATAGTTTTTAGGGTGTAGTGTTTAAGTGTTTTGGGTTTAGTGTTTAGAAAGGGATTAGTGCTTAAGTGTTTAGGGTTTCGTGTTCAGTGTTTGGGGTTCGTGCTAAGGGCTTAGTGTTAAGCTTTTAGGCTTAGTGTTAAGGGTCTACTTCTGAGTGTTTAGGGTTCAGTGCTAAGGGTTTCGGTTTCTTTTTTGGGTTACGGGTTTTAAGGGTTTTTACTAGTGTTCAGGGTTTAGTGTGTAGGGTTTAGTGTGTAATGTTTAGGGTTTAGTTTTTAGGGTGTAGTGTTTAAGGGTTTAGGGTTTAGTGTTCAGGGTCTAGTGCTTAAGTGTTTAGGGTTTCCTGTTAAGTGTTTGGGGTTTGTGCTAAGGGCTTAGTCTTAAGTTTTTAGGGTTCGTGTTTAGGGTCTGGTGCTGAGTTTTTAGGGTTTAGTAGTGCTTATGTGTTTAGGGTTTCGTGTCAAGTGTTTGGGGTTCGTGGGCCTAGTGTTAAGTTTTTTAGGGTTACTCTTTAGGGTCTAGTGCTGAGTGTTTCGGGTTTAGTGTTAAGGGTTTCGGGTTTGGTTTTTTGGATTAAGGGTTTTAAGGATTTTTACTAGTGTTCAGGGTTTAGTGTGTAGGGTTTAGTGTGTAATGTTTAGGGTTTAGTGTTTAGGGTTTAGTTTTTAGAGTCGGGTGTAGTGTTTACGTGTTTAGGGTTTAGTGTTTAGGGTCTAGTTAAATGTTTAGGGTTTCATGTTAAGTGTTTGGGGTTTGTGCTAAGGGCTTAGTGTTAAGTGTTTAGGGTTAGTGTTTAGGCTTTCATGTTAAGTGTTTGGGGTTTGCGCTACGGGCTTAGTGTTAAGTTTTTAGGGTTAAGGGTTTAAGGGTTTTTGCAAGTTTACATGATCTGGGGAAGGCACTGGGGCTTCCCCAGACCATCTAAACTTTGAAAATCCTTAAAATCTTATAAAAATCTTTAAGCTTCTGTTTAATCATTCTCAGGATTTTGAAGGTTTTAAGGCTTTTAAGCCTATTAAAGACCTTAAATTGCTTACGTATTTAAGTGGCTGCCCTTTGCGGATTTTAGAGATTTTTGAAGTTGCCAATGGTCTGGAGAAGCCCCGGTGCCTTCCCCAGACCATATAGATTTTTACAAATCCGTAAAACCCTGAAATTCTTGCAGTTGTAAATGGCTGTCCTTTTGAAGTTTAAAGTTTTTAGGATGTTCGATTCTAAAATCCGTAACTTCCTTAATTTTAAACGGCTGCCCGTTTTTAATTTTTAAGGAATTTTAGACTTTTAAGGGATAAACGCTTCGAGGTTTTTAAGGGCTTTAAAGCCTTTTAAGATCCTCTAAATCTTGAAATTTTTGAAAGGCTTTAAGTACCTTAAAACCCTTCAAATTTGAAAAGGGCTGCCCCTTTAAAGGATTTTTAAAATTGCAAATGGTCTGGGGAAGCCCCGGTGCCTTCCACAGATCATCTACATTTTACAAACCCCTTAAACCCTGAAAAGCCTTAAACTTCTAATTGCTACCTTTCTAAAATTTCATGGGGCCGCAAGACACAAGTTTCAGAAGCAAAATGCCCATAAAAACACTAGTGTTTTTATAGAGGATAATATACTAGAGCTTTTTGTATTCCAGTGCAGTTTTGACTGCATTTTTCCGAGGAAAAAGCAGAAAATCAGACAAAGACGAAGACAAGAAAACCATAGGTGTGGATCATGGGGGGGGGGGGCTGACCATATATATATAATATACACACATATAGTATACAATACACAATACACAAAATAGGAATAGATGGATAGATAGATAGATGGATGATATATAATATGGCAATAATCAAAGTCTCACAGTCTCTCCAGCTTCCTTCACTCCGAAAAGACTCTTCCGTTGGGAGCGCCTTGTGTTGCCAAACCTTTGCCATCGGTTTAGCGCAGCTTGGCATCCACAGGGGTCTACATGGAATGCATCAGCTGGAATTTTGAACAGCCTGATCTCCTGAACCATTATTCGCAACCAGCGCGCGCCATGCAAGTTCCGCCGTAGACGCAGGGCAGGCAGATGTGCTCGACGCGGCTGAAGCACTCAGTCCAGGGTCTCCGAGAAATGATACCATGACATCTATCTAACATGCCGCCGCATGCTGAGAAACCCTCAGCTCTCAAGCGCAGGATCTCGCCGGAAGCAAGCAAGAAGCCTGAGAGGTCTGATGTGTGAGAAGCCTCCTTGTCAGGGCAAGTCGTTCACGCAGGAGCTGGGTGCGGCGCTGTCAAATGGCAATTTGCGGCTCGGGCACACCACATGATAGCACTGAGCACTTAATGGGAAGTAATGGCAGAACGTACGGTAGCAAGGCTTGCATCCGTACAATACTCGTAGCTTGCAATGTGAGGTGGTGCTTGATCTTGTCCTTCAGCTGCAGCTTGGGATCCTTCAACACCTTGAGCACCCTGGCCGCCCAGCTCGTGGCCCCGTTCGGGTACAGCGCCGATGATGCCTCAATCTTTGGAGTGGCCGTGACGGTCTGTGGCGTGCTTGGCGCCCTCGTCATGTCTGTGCTCGTGGGCCTGACTGGGAAGCACAAGGCCGTCCTCAGCTTGTGTTGCGTGTTCTGTGTGCTCTTCGCCGCCCTCGCCGCTTTGACCGTGATCTACGTGGGCCATGGTTCTGGAGGCATGCAGCTCTTGCTGCTGGCCTTTGCAGGCCTTGGCTTCTCAGCGACACCTCTGATGCCCATCTCTTTCGAGGCGGCTGTCGTGGTTGGACATCCCACCGGCGAGGGAACGCTGGCCGGCCTCTGCATGTCAGGCGGCCAGATCCTGGGCATAGGCAGCTTGGCAATGCTTGGCATGAGCTGACACGAGTTGACTTGAGTTGCCATGCGAGCAGCCATTCCTGCAGTTCCCATACCTGTAGAGTGCATTCGCTCCTCCACCCTCCCCACCACCCCTCAAGGGCTTGCCTAGAAGCCATTGGCACCAACACTCGAAGCAACTGAGCCACAGAAGCTCGCAGAGGTCTCCCTAAACCCTAAACCCTAAACCCTAAACCCTAAACCCTAAACCCTAAACCCTAAACCCTAAACCCTAAACCCTGGTTCTTAGTAGGGACTGCATGAGGGACTTCGGGCCCTACGTATAATGTTAAAGGGAGCAGAAAGGGGCCCCCTAATTTCGTGGATTGCCTTCTGAGAATCCTTGTAAACCCTAAGCCCTCAACCCTCAACCCTAAACCCTAAACCCTAAACCCAAAAACCCAAAACCCTAAACCCTAAACCCTGAGCTAAGAACCAGCCAGAAGGTCAGACCCTGATCCTGGGACAGCTTCTCCAGACGGGTCACCCGAAAGCTGCCTGGATCCTCTCGGGTGGGCCTCCTGGATTGCAGATGTTTTGCAGAATGGGTTTAGGGTTTAGGGTTTAGGGTTTAATGTTTAGGGTTTAGGGTTTAGGGTTTAGGGCTTATTCCTGGTTATCGTCATGCTGTGCTTCATCTATCGCTTCACTAAGCTTCTGAAAGAGCCACGTGAAGGACTTGCGGCGGTTTTGAGGAGATTTGAGGATGCCAGGGCTGCCGGGGCGTGGGGACATGTGTGGACAGGCTTTGGCAAGCGGTGGAGGGTTACCTGCTCATGAGCCCAGCCATATGCATGTGGCCCAGGCTTTTTGGCCTGGCGTTGCTAGCTGTGAGTCTCTTGGACACAGGGTGTTGAAGGACACCAGGCAGTTTCGAGAGACTTCTGAGCCATGTCTTAGCCAACCATGCGCATAGAAACGTCATGCAACTGACGCTGCAGCTCAGGCCTGTTTGCGCCCAAAGGCCATTCCTTTCACCTGTCCATGTCGGAGGAGTCCGATGTTGAAGAATCTCGGACCTGCTCGTCCTGAGGCTGCATCAGTGTGACTTGAGGCTCATGGCGTCTCTGGTTCTTACTAGTTGCCATCCTTTGGCATGGACAGGGCTTGTGGTTCTGGATTCGAGGGGTGCTTCTGTATCCGAACTTCCGGCACCTGTCCAAACACTGAATACCGAAGGCCTGAAGCCCACGCTGAGTGAGCTTGCTTGTTTCAGTCCTCGCCTTTTGACAAGGACGATCCTTCATGAGCGACACTCCATTCAGGAGCCTTATTATGTGTTTCCATACAACTCAGTGCTGTAAACAACAAAGACAGATTGTGCTGGTCAAGAGGGAGCTGCTGGATGACTCACAACCGAATGTTGAGAGATGCATTTGTTGCCCATTCAGAATGGGTCCTTGCATGCTCCTTATCGTGAAAAAAACATCACCTGCACATCGCCTGTGAACGTGCAGCTGTGCGTCCACGTTCTGAGAAGTGACTCATCGAGATGGACAGTCAGCCGTGCTCTCAATTCGGTTTTGTGAGAACCCGATGGTAAAATGACACAGCGGGATGTTACTTGCCATGGTTGGAAAGCAAGCAATAATTAAGTGAGAAGGACACGGCCACATATTACAAAGCTTAGCTGGGCCACTATGCGTGGGCACGCAACTTTCTGATGAAGCCTGCCCTCATTAAGGACACCAGTGTGCCTCCAACTGTTGCTGACACCATGCCTCCTCCCTGCCCCCCCCCCCCCCCCCCCCCCCCCCCCCCCCCCCCCCCCCCCCCCCCGCCCCCCCCCCCAACCCCCCAACACCCACCCCCCCAACCGAAACCATCCAGACCCTTCAGGCCCCCCCAAAGCGGAGAATTACCAGGTGGTATCAGAGGCAAGCTTCACGATGTATCATGAAGCTTTCTCAACAAATGGGCGAGACTTTTCTTAATGCCTATGCCATGGTTCCATGTAGAAATCGTAGGTGGGACTTCTGATGCTGAAACCCAATCTTGGTATCCGCGAGTCATCGCACGGAAAGCCGTTTGCCGGCTTTCAGATATGCATGCGCTGGCAAGACTCCAAAACCTGCAAAGCATGCTTCAGATTCAGCTTAGTACATTTTGATTTGGTGGACCATGGATTTTGAGCACGTAAAGTTGAGCCTCACGGGAAGGAAAAGAAAAGCCTCCGCGGGGCCGCAAGAGGTTGCTACGTAGTACTCGCGACAGCTCCGTGCATCGCTGCTTGCTGTTTTGTGAACCATGCCGCCGCAGGTTCCGCAATGATCACGCTGAAAGCTCTTGCAGGTCTTGCGCCAGTTTTTGCTTTGAGAAGCTCCGACCCCATGAGGGGCGCCACAACCCGCGTGCCGAGGCCGGATGGATGGCAGAAGTACGGCCACTTTGTGCTCAGGATGCAGAGGGAAGCTCTTTGGGAAACCCCCCAATTCAAGAGTTCACTTTCAACCCTAAACCTAAACCCTAAACATAACTTGCCTAAACCCTACCCTCAAACCCTACACCCCAAACCCTAAACCCTAAAACCCTAAAACCTAAACCCTAAGCCTAAGCCTAAGCCCTAACCGTAAACCCTGAAAAACTAGTGCTCTGCTCTAAGGGGGTGGTCCTGTCGGTCCGTGACCTGACGCAGGCATGGCGCTTGACGTGTTCACCGTTTTCCGGAGCAGAGCATTTTCAGCCCCCTAACTCCCCCCATGAACCACTGCACTTGAAACTGCACATGAATCTGCACACTGAACTGCACATGAACTTGCAGTTAGGTTGGATTTAGGTTAGGGTTTAGGTCATGAGAGATGGAGCCGAGAAAGTTGTGCTGGGATGTGGCACAGGAGATGTATTCATGCGCAACGAAATGCAAATCGGATGGCCCAAAGCCCAGCCTGCGAGAAGACCGAAGGTTTTGCTGGTAATCACATAGTTTCCGACCTCTTCTCAACGCTGCCCGGAATGCGAGGAGGGTTGCAGCGTCATGAGCAACCTGAGGAGGAGGAGGACTTCCGATCAGAACTTTTTTGCAGACCAATTGCTGTTAAAAACCAACCCTGTCTTCAAGGATCCCTGCCACTATGTGTTATAAGAAGGGACACCAGCTGCTATTCCGACAGACGTTTCGGGACCCGAAGGACGTACGCCCGTTCAACCGAGTTTAAAACGGTTCAGGAGAGTTCAGGAGCTGCAACTTGGGGCCTGAACTTGATGACGCCCAGCCTCCCACAACCCCAGAATAGAATTCCGTCAGCCCTTTTGGCAAATTTGGGCACATGTTGGGGCGCTGAGGACCTCTTTCAGAACTTGAACCTGTGGGCAACGGACGCAGGACATGGCACCGGACGTATATGGACATGCTGTATA